CTTGAGCCATAGGCGCTGAGCCTTTCACCCTCTTCTCACTACTACATTTGACTAGTCTTTAAAAAAAGAAAAAGCTTGTTGCAAAAGCAGTTTCAAGACTCATACCTTGAAAAGGTGGAAAAGGAAACATGTTTCCAACAACCTACACTTAAAAGGAGGAAGCATCAACCTTGGAATGTTTGCTTCTAGTTCCAGTGGAGACAGAGGATGAAACCACTTTACTCACGGTTTATCACTCTGCCAACGTCACAGCTTTGAAAGGCTCTGGAAATCTGACCTTCCTCAAATGTAGGAAGAGACGTTGGATAACTCAGCACATATGTGTTATTATTTTAGCTAATGTTTCCCAAATTATTTTTCATTAGACTCCAAAATTCTTACTCTTGCTGACATAGCAAGACATGCCCCAACTCGCCTCTCCCCAACAATAGTCATTTATTTACCTCCTAGTATTACCTATTACTAGCCTGTTGATCAAGGTGTGACTGCAGGAAGGCTGGTTAAAGCAAATTTTCAAGATACCAATTATTGCCACCAAAGGAGATAATGTACAAACATTTCTGGGATTCCAGAGTCAATTTCACATCAAAATTGCTGCTGATAGTACATGCACTGTGTAGTCCTTGGAACAGTCAACCAAAGACTGGATGTTACACATGTGAAGTATTGATCTGACTTAATTCATTCTTGTATGGAGTTTGCACCTCCTGACAAACTTTCACAAAAATCTCAACAAGTTGTGATACATCTCTATTTGAGGAAGTACAGAATGAAGACATTGAAGCTACTTTAATCTCAGACTGAAGACTTAACCCGTTCTTGGCTCAGCGCCTGTAGCACAGTGGTTACAGGGCCTGCCTCATGCACTGAGGCTGGCGGGTTCAAACCTGGCCTGGCCAAACAATGACACTTGCAACCAAAAAAATAGCAGGGTATTGTGGCAAGCACCCGTAGTCCCAGCTACTTTGGAGGCTGAGGCAAGAGAATCGCTTAAGCCCAAGAATTTGAGGTTGCTGTGAGCTGTGATACCACCACACTCTACTGAGAGTGACAAAGTGAGTCTATCCCCCCACCCCCCAAAAAGTGCCAATAATTTCTCAGGTTTTATTTATTTATTTATTTATTGGAAACAAGAGTCTCCCTCTGTTGTCCCAGCTAGAGTATGATGTTGTCATCAAAGTCACTGCAACCTCAAAATCTGGGGTGTCTCCTGTGGCTGAGTGGGTAGGGTGCTGGCCCCACATACTGAGGGTGGTGGGTTTGGGCCCAGTCCCAGCCAAACTGCAACAACAAAAAAGAAATGGTTGGGGCTCAGCGCCTATAGCTCAACCGGCTAAGGCGCCAGCCACGTACACCTAAGGTGGCGGGTTCGAATCCCCAGCCCGGACCCGCCAAACAACAATGAC